ACTAGCGTATCAGTAACAGACACAACCCAGCCTCAGACGCCCGGAACAGACACGACACAGACTACCGTATCGGTAACAGATACAACCCAGCCTCAGACGCTCGGAACAGACACAACACAGACTACCGTATCTGTAACAGATACAACCCAGCCTCAGACGCTCGGAACAGACGCGACACAGACTAGCGTATCAATCACAGACACAACCAGCCTCAGACGCTCGGAACAGACGCGACTTAGACTAGCGTATCAATCACAGACACATCCAGCCTCAGACGCTCAGAACACCACGACACAGACTAGCGTTTCAGTAACAGATACAACCAGTCTCAGACGCTCGGATCGGACACGACACAGACTAGCGTATCAATCACAGACACAACCCAGCCTCAGACACCTGAACAGACACGACACAGACTAGCGTATCAATCACAGACACATCCAGCCTCAGACGCTCAGAACAGACGCGACACAGACTAGCGTATCAGTAACAGATACATCCAGCCTCAGACGCTCAGAACAGACACGACACAGACTAGCGTATCTGTAACAGATACAACCCAGCCTCAGACGCTCGGAACAGACGCGACACAGACTAGCTTATCAATCACAGACACATACAGCCTCAGACGCTCAGAACAGACACGACACAGACTAGCGTTTCAGTAACAGATATAACCAGCCTCAGACGCTCGGAACAGACACGACACAGACTAGCGTATCAGTAACAGACACAACCCAGCCTCAGACGCCCGGAACAGACACGACACAGACTAGCGTATCAATCACAGACACATCCAGCCTCAGACGCTCAGAACAGACGCGACACAGACTAGCGTATCAGTAACAGCTACAACCAGTCTCAGACGCTCGGAACGGACACGACACAGACTAGCGTATCAATCACAGACACAACCCAGCCTCAGACACCGGAACAGACACGACACAGACTAGCGTATCAATCACAGACACAACCCAGCCTCAGACGCCCGGAACAGACACGACACAGACTAGCGTATCAATCACAGACACATCCAGCCTCAGACGCTCAGAACAGACGCGACACAGACTAGCGTATCAGTAACAGATACAACCAGCCTCAGACGCTCAGAACAGACACGACACAGACTAGCGTATCAGTAACAGATACAACCAGTCTCAGACGCTCGGAACGGACACGACACAGACTAGCGTATCAATCGAAAACACAACCCAGCCTCAGACGCTCGGAACAGACACGACACAGACTACCGTATCAATCACAGACACAACCCAGCCTCAGACGCCCGGAACAGACACGACACAGACTAGCGTATCAGTAACAGATACAACCAGCCTCAGACGCTCGGAACAGACACGACACAGACTACCGTATCGGTAACAGATACAACCCAGCCTGAGACGCTCGGAACAGACACGACACAGACTAGCGTATCAGTAACAGATACAACCAGTCTCAGATGCTCGGAACGGACACGACACAGACTAGCGTATCAATCGAAAACACAACCCAGCCTCAGACGCTCTGAACAGACACGACACAGACTAGCGTATCAGTAACAGTTACAACCAGCCTCAGACGCCCGGAACAGACACGACACAGACTACCGTATCAGTAACAGATACAACCAGCCTCAGACGCTCGGAACAGACACGACACAGACTAGCGTATCAATCGAAAACACAACCCAGCCTCAGACGCTCGGAACAGACACGACACAGACTAGCGTATCAGTAACAGTTACAACCAGCCTCAGACGCTCGGAACAGACACGACACAGACTACCGTATCGGTAACAGATACAACCAGCCTCAGACGCCCGGAACAGACACGACACAGACTACCGTATCAGTAACAGACACAACCCAGCCTCAGACGCCCGAAACAGACACGCCACAGACTACCGTATCGGTAACAGATACAACCAGCCTCAGACGCTCGGAACAGACACAACACAGACTACCGTATCTGTAACAGATACAACCCAGCCTCAGACGCTCGGAACAGACACAACACAGACTACCGTATCTGTAACAGATACAACCCAGCCTCAGACGCTCGGAACAGACACGACACAGACTACCGTATCAGTAACAGACACAACCCAGCCTCAGACGCCCGGAAGACACGACACATACTAGCGTATCAGTAACAGATACAACTAGCCTCAGACGCTCGGAACACACACGACGCAGCCTACCGTATCGGTAGCAGATACAACCAGCCTCAGACACTCGGAACAGACACGACGCAGACTAGCGTATCAGTCACAGACATGACACAGCTACCCGGTTCAATAACGGACACAACACAGATACTGACGTCCCTGACAGAGACCCAAACACAAACACGTGGAGCCCCGGGATCTGCTGGGGTTTTGAGCCACTGCTCTGCTGCCAGGAATCCGGTTAGAAGAGGTGATGTGAAATAGGGTTTAACGTCGCGTCCAAGATTATTGCACTTTTATAGCGGCGTGCATGCACGTGTGTGTGTGGCTGCTTGTACTAGTTCGGACTGATGCCGATTTATAGTGCTAGCACACTGAGATACCATGGCGCAGTTTAACATGAATATCCCACTCAGACACAGTATACTGACTCCGAGCCGACCAGTCCTTGTTTTAGCCCGTTAATGCCGAACGCCAGACAGGGTAACAACAAGTACCATCTTTCAACGTCTTTTGGTATGACGCGGCTGGGGATCGAACCCCGGACCTTCCGCTCTCCGGGCGGACGCTCTACCATTAGACCACGGAGGCGGTCTCCCGATTAGAAGAATAACCCTACCGACATTGGTCCGGAGACAGGGCCATTAGTAGCCAGAGCATCGCGACCCGGTCTGGTTCTCCGCCAAGAGTCCGATTATAAGAATTATTCCAACGACGTTTGTGAAACCGCATCTAACAGCAGGGGTTCAACGTCCAATAACATATCATATCAGACATTACAATCCTTTTCAAAACCATTTCCTTAATTATTATTTCATGTGGGCCATTGCTGACGTTTTCTAAATTATCAACTACATCAACATCCTATTCACATGATGAGATTCAATTAAGGTAAAAGTGACTGAACCGTTCGACATTGGATCACTGGCAACAGTTTCTATGTATATAGAATTTCTGGTTAGCCTTGGGGAACAGTATTAGAGATAATGCAAGTCAGCCATTTATGTATTACTCTCTGGGGCGGTGGGGTAGACTGGCAGTTAAAGCGTTCGCTTGTCACGCCGACGGCCTGGTTCGATTATGGGTACAATGTGTGGCCCATTTTTGGTGTCCCCCGCCGTGATGTTGCTGGAATATTGCTAAAAGCTGCGTAAAGACAACCTCACTCCCTCACTGTCATATTTTCTTGTACATACATGCATACCATCTGAATTCATGGACAGATTTGTGTCTGGCTGTGTTATATTTTGTGTTATGAGAATAAGTATAATTGGGAAATACTCGTAACGTTTCCTCAGTGTAGGGCTAGTTTACCTGCAGCTTTGAACCAACGGGATGCCGTCATCTGACCAAGTCAACACCAATAATTTCGACCCGTGAAGGTCCGGGGTAGAATAGGTCTTCTGCAATCCATGCTTGACGTAAAAGGCGACTATGCTTGTCGTAAGAGGCGACTTTCGGGATCGGGTGGTCGGGCTCGCTGACTTGGTTGATGCATGTCATCGTTTCCCAATTGCGTGGATCGATGCTCATGATATCAATCAGTGGACTGTCTGGTCCAGACTCGATTATTAACAGACCGCCATCATACAGCTGGAATATTGCAGAGTGTGGCGTTAAACAACAAACAAACAATCATTTAAACACGATGTGCTCGATAAAAGTACTGGTACCTGTACCTACACGTATAATTGAATGAATAAAGATGTTGAAAGCCATGTCAGCTCCGTCTTCGTTGATACGACAGCTTCTGACATACTGCTTTAAGATAGTCAGCAATGCCACTGCTGGTTGTGCTTCACTGGCCGGTCAGTAATGAAATGTGCGGTGTATTCTTCAGTAGTGAGTGAGTTGGGTTTTACGCCGTTTTTAACAGTATTCCAGTTATATCACGGCGTGTCAGCTTAATGTGGGAGGAAAGCCCGAAGTGATGCAGGTCCTAGACGTTTACCACTTCGGTGAAACCCACGAGCACGGGTATGGTGCTGACAAACCTAGAAACATAATCGGGGTGAACCGGGATTCGAACCCACAATCATAGGTTTCTGGCGTGTCCAAGGGACGCAACTCTGCACAGCGAATCGCGGCGCCTTAGACGACTGGGCCACCCGTGCCCCCGTATTCTTCAGTAGAATTTGTCCATGAGACTTCATTCATAAGACTCCGTTCTACCCCGACACACAAACACACACACACACACACACACACACACACACACACACACACACACACACACACACACACCCTGCCCCCCTTCATCCAGACATATGAACACGTCTTGCTAATAGTGTGACATGTCACGTACACTGGTTGGTAAGCAATTTCCCCTGTCGAGCTACCCGTCAGTATGGAATAAAGGAAGGGACATTATCGCGATCTCGCATCCTCAGGCTCGCTGATGTGGTTGATGCATGCCATCGTATCCAAAATGCGTGGTTTGATCTCAATTGAATTAATGAATTTTCAGATTCGATAGTTTATAAAAACAAACTTTAAAAAAAAAATATAAAAAAATACTAAACAAACACAAAAACTCTTATTTCCCCCACCTATAGCACGGCATCCTTCAAAATTCCAAATTTCCCCAAAATTATAGAAGCAACCCTAAAGTCCCGCAGGTTGCCCTTCCTTTTCGGACATACCCTCCTGGCAAAACCACTAATTGGCCTGTCTCTCTCTCTCTCTCTCTCTCTCTCTCTCTCTCTCTCTCTCTCTCTCTCTCTCTCTCTCACACACACACACACACACACACACACACACACACACACTTTACATACAGATTATCGAACGGTCGATTCCTAATGTCCGACCCTGAATACAACAAATTCGTATCATATGCAGACCATTTATTGGACACGAAATAACATTTAGTCCAGCTATCTTAGGATAGGAGACAAAACCTCATCCTCTTTTGGATAGCACTGGCTGCATTAGGGTCGTCAATATGAAAGACGTTGGAAGGTTTCGACGCAATCACGTTGACTGTGGAATTGGCATCCACTGCCGAGATAGCAACAACAAATACCTCAGCTTTGGCTTTCAGATCACCAATACTGGCAGCAATGGCCTCCCGGTCCTCGCTTGTGGTGTACCCATCGGTAAACATGACGACCATATTTTCAACGTACATACGGTCGCCATTAACAGGGATGAAAACTTGTCTCGAAGCCAGCTTGATGGCATCGCTGATGTTCGTAATGGGACCCTCTTCGTATGTCTGCTGCTTGAGAGCTTCCAGAACATCCGACTTGCTGTTGCTATATTTATTGAGTTTGAATACTACACTTGCGTTTGAAGAAAACACCATCAATGCAACGTTATCACCGCTAGTGCTTATGGTGGTAGAGTTTAGCATACTCTCTTGAAATCGTTTCATTTCGTCAAAGCGGGGTTTGCCGATGGAGAACGACACATCTTCAATGAACAGGATGTCTAGCATCTTGGTACTGCAGACTGGAAAATATGATGTGCAATATTTAAAGATTGTTCCTGGTGGGTAGATGAAGGGACTTACCGATACGTTGTTTGTAACAGTGTCATACATATATAGATAAACTTGGTTACAGTGTAAAACATACATAGATAACTTTTGTTACAGTGTTACACATATATAGATAACTTTTGTTACAGTGTTACACATATATACAGATAAACTTTGCTACAATGTAACACAGATATAGATAAACTTTGTTACAGTGTTACACATGTAGATAAATTGTGTTACAGTGTTACACAGATACAGATAAACTTTGTTGCAGTGTTACATATACAGATAACCTTCGTCACATACAGGTAACCTCTGTTACAGTTTTACGCATTGATTTAGATAACCTTTGTTACAGTGTAAAATATATATATTTCCTTTGTCACAGTGTTACGCATATTTAGATAACATTTGTTACAGTGTTAAATATATATAACCTTTGTTTCAGTTTTATAAATATTTAGATACCCTTTGTCACAGTGTTACACATATTCAAATAACCTTTGTTGCAGTGTAACACATGTAGGTAACCTCTGTTACAGTGTTACACATATTTAGATAACCTTTGTTCCAAAGAAATTTATATGTATCATTTTCCATGACGCCCTCTACATATTCTAGGTCATACCATGGATGGACCTCTGCGTCAAAAGCACAAGTATTAAGAAGACGGTAATACAATAATAGAGCCACTCCATCATGTTGGCGCCTCAAATCCTAGTGTAGAGTTGTGTCCCTTTAGCATGTTTTTTTTGTTGGTTGTTTAACGCCGTACTCCCGCAATATCCCAGCTATTTGACGGCGGTCTGTATATAATCGAATCTGGACCAGACAATCCAGTGATTTAAATCATGTGCATCGATCTACGTTTGGAATACGATGGCATGTCGGCGAGCTTGACCAACCTGTCAGCATGGGTTGCTGAAGACCTATTCTCTACCCTGTACTCCTTAAGGTCCTTAAGCATGTCAGAATCCTTAATCTTGACTTCTAATCCAAGATATTGATTCTTGTTTTGCCAACACCATATCCGTGCTAGTTGGTGTCACCAAATAGGTAACGTCTAAGACCTACAGAATGTACATTATTTCTGGTATCCCCTTACGTCAATCTGGCACGCAGTTATATAACTAAAACACTGTTAAAAGATGTGTTAAAGTGAACTCATTCCATCATTGCCATTCTGAAACCTACCTGTACAGTTCACATCCGAGAAACCAGGCTGACAGGTGCAGCTGTACCCGGTGCCTTGCGGTGTGCATGTGCCTCTATTCTGACACGGACTCAAACGGCAGGGATCATCGTTGACTACTAAATGATATATGAAGCTTAATTACGAGTAGCTTCCAAACAGTGTTCGAAATAAGAAAAAAGAGCAAACGACAAACATATTCGCAAATACATATGAGTTTTTAAAGGGTGATAATCAGTGTCGGAAGGGTTATAACGAGGGTGTGGTCGCCATGACAGTTTTTGAAAGGTGATTATCAGGGCGTTGTTTCCATGACAGTTTTTAAACGGTGATAACCTGTGTTTGAACGCCATGATAGTTTTTTGAAAGGCCGGTAAACAGGGCGTGATCTCATGACAAATTCTAAAGGGTTATAATCAAGGCGTGGTCTTCATGACAGTTTTTAAAGTGTGATAAGCATTGTGTGTGGACGCCGTGAAGGTTTGTGAAGGGTGATAATCAGGTAGTGGTCGCCTCGACAGTTTCGAAGAAGTGAAAATCAGGTTGGGTCACAATGACAGTTTTAAAGTGGTGTAAATCAGTTTGGGTGACCATTACAGTTCCAAATGAGGGAAAATCAAGGTATGGTCGCCATGAATGTTTCGAGTGGATGCAAATCAGGATATGGTCGTTATGAATGTTTCGAATGGGTGCGAATCAGGATATGGTTTTTGACGGAGTGCAATTCAGGGTGTGGTCGCTGTGAAAGTTTCAAATAGGTGGAAATCAAGATATGGACGTATAATAATTTGAGGAGGTGAAGATCAGGGTGTGCACAACATGATATTTTGGAGGGGATGAAAATCAGGTTATTGTCGCTGTGACAGTTTCGAAAATTAAGGTACTGTCTCTTTTACACTTCTGAGGGGGGTGAAACTCAGGTGTGGTTGCCGTAACTTTTTCGAAGTTTTTTGCAGTGTGTGGAAATCAGGATGTGGTCGTAATGACAATTTCAAAGGTGGGAAAATCCGAAAGTGGTTACCCTGACAGTTTTGAAGGGGACAGAATCAGGGTATTGTCTCTATGATAGTTTCGAGTGGGTGCGAGTCAGGACACGGTCGGTGTAACAGTTTTCAATGCATGCAAATCATGGCATGGTCGCCATTTCAGTTTTGACGGGGGGTGAAAGTCATGGCGTGGTCGCTATGAAAGTTTAAAATGGGTAGAAATCAATTTGTGGACTCCAAAATAGTTTTGAGGGGGTGAAATTAAAGGTGTTGTTGACATGACAGTTTCAAGGGTGTGAACATCAGGTTGTTGTTTTGATATTGATTCTTGTTTTGCCAACACCATATCCGTGCTAGTTGGTGTCACCAAATAGGTAACGTCTAAGACCTACAGAATGTACATTATTTCTGGTATCCCCTTACGTCAATCTGGCACGCAATTATATAACTAAAACACTGTTAAAAGATGTGTTAAAGCTAACTCATTCCATCATTGCCATTCTGAAACCTACCTGCACAGTTCACACCCGAGTAACCAGGCCAACAGATGCACCTGTACCCGGTGCCTTGCGGTGTGCATACGCCTCTATTCTGACACGGACTCCAACTGCAGGGATCATTGTTGACTACTAAATGATATATGAAGCTTAATTACGAGTAGCTTCCAAACAGTGTTCGAAATAAGAAAAAAGAGCAAACGACAAACATATTCGCAAATACATATGAGTTTTTAAAGGGTGATAATCAATGTCGGAAGGGTTATAACGAGGGTGTGGTCGCCATGACAGTTTTTTAAAGGTGATTATCAGGGCGTTGTTTCCATGACAGTTTTTAAACGGTGATAACCAGTGTGTGAACGCCATGATAGTTTTTTGAAAGGCCGGTAAACAGGGCGTGATCTCATGACAAATTCTAAAGGGTTATAATCAAGGCGTGGTCTTCATGACAGTTTTTAAAGTGTGATAAGCATTGTGTGTGGACGCCGTGAAGGTTTGTGAAGGGTGATAATCAGGTAGTGGTCGCCTCGACAGTTTCGAAGAAGTGAAAATCAGGTTGGGTCACAATGACAGTTTCAAAGTGGTGTAAATCAGTTTGGGTGACCATTACAGTTCCAAATGAGGGAAAATCAAGGTATGGTCGCCATGAATGTTTCGAGTGGATGCAAATCAGGATATGGTCGTTATGAATGTTTCGAATGGGTGCGAATCAGGATATGTTTTTTGACGGGGTGCAATTCAGGGTGTGGTCGCTGTGAAAGTTTCAAATAGGTGGAAATCAAGATATGGACGTATAATAATTTGAGGAGGTGAAGATCAGGGTGTGCACAACATGATATTTTGGAGGGGATGAAAATCAGGTTATTGTCGCTGTGACAGTTTCGAAAATTAAGGTACTGTCTCTTTTACACTTCTGAGGGGGGTGAAACTCAGGTGTGGTTGTCGTAACTTTTTCGAAGTTTTTCGCAGTGTGTGGAAATCAGGATGTGGTCGTAATGACAATTTCAAAGGTGGGAAAATCCGAATGTCGTTACCGTGACAGTTTTGAAGGGGACAGAATCAGGGTATTGTCTCTATGATAGTTTCGAGTGGGTGCGAGTCAGGACACGGTCGGTGTAACAGTTTTCAATGCATGCAAATCATGGCAAGGTCGCCATTTCAGTTTTGACGGGGGGGTGAAAGTCATGGCGTGGTCGCTATGAAAGTTTAAAATGGGTAGAAATCAATTTGTGGACTTCAAAATAGTTTTGAGGGGGTGAAATTAAAGGTGTTGTTGACATGACAGTTTCAAGGGTGTGAACATCAGGTTGTCGTTACCATGACAATTTTGAAGGGGTGGGAATCAGGATATGGTCGCTGTGACAGTTACGAATGAGTGATAATCATGGTACGGTCGTCAAAACGGTTTTGAGGGAGTGAACATAAGGGTGTGGTCGCCATGGAAGTTTCGAAAATGTTAAAATCATCAGGATGTGTACAACATGACAGTTGAAGGGTTGAAAATCAGTGTGTGGTGGCAATGACAGTTCCGCGGGGATGAAGATAAGGGTGTGGTTGCCATCACAATTTCGAAGGGGCTAAAATCATGGTGTGTTTGCCATGACAGTTTCAAAGGCGTGAAAATCAGTGTGTGGTTGACACGACATTTTCAAAGGGTGACAATCATATAGTGGTCGTTATGACAGTTTCAATTTGGTGAGAAACCATCATATGGACACCATTATGTGCCGGTTTTGTAGGGGATTAAAATCAGGGTGTAGCTGCCATGACAGTTTCGAATCTTTAAAGAGTTTTGTGTAAGAAGAATTCAGTGTGTGGTCGCTGTGACAGTTTGGTCATGTGAAAATCAGGATGTGGTCAGCTGTGACAGCGTAGATTGGGTGAGAATCAGGGCGTGGTTACGATGACAGTTTCAAGAGTGTGATAACTAGGGTGTGGTATCCTGTCGAAAACCAGGGTGTTATCGCTATGACAATTTAGAGGGGATAACAATCAGGGTGTGGTGACTATGTCAGTTTGGAGGGGGCGAGAATCATGGTGTTGGCACTATGACTGTTTCTAGAGTGTAAAAAGAGGGTTAAATGTGCCTGGCGGAACAGCTACGACACTAAAACAGTACAATTGTCGAACCGATCTTGTAAACTTCAGGTGCTGGTTGGCTTCATGGACTCAGTGGACCCAGTGGGTCTTTGCTGCTATAAAGGGTTTCAAGTGTATTCAAGGCATGAACAATGTCATTTCTATATGCAGCCAGCCATCTTTGATATTTCTTTTAATAAAACATCTTCTCAAAACATTATATGACCATTGGTCTGAAACGTGGTGGGTGAGATAGTCACCTTATGAAGTATCAAGTTAGTTCAAGATAATCGGAAATAAAATATGTTTGCCAGTCGCCATACTTGAAAATACAAAACATCATCCATCTCATTAAAATCAGATCTCAGTTCTCGCTATCGCTAAACAAAGATCTGAGGACATCTCATTGCGGCTCACGTCAGAACGACCTTTCGGTCGACCAATCAAAGCATCGCTTACTAGATCATGAAAGTGACAGTTGGAATGTATTTTCTAATAATGCAACCTCGAAAACGTTAACAGGGGGTATTCCGAACGACAGTTACGGCCCGTCAAAATTATCGTCTGTCTCTCGGTTCCGTGGGATAAACATTTGAACGGAGGGGCGTTGCACAGTAGGCAGGAATCACTGCCAAACACTCTCAACCATACATTATATAATTAGACATTCCGGAATGTTCGTTTGTTCAGTTTTCAAAATTTTAATCGATAACTGTGTCAATATATTTTTCAAGCGTAGACAGAAATGGGAGTCACCAGGTTGAAACAAGTGCCGTAAAGCTAGAGAAAGCTGCTTTCTAATTGGCTGATGTCGACTTCTTGTTAGTCATTTCAGTCGTCGGTCAATGTTCAAAGCTGCTTTCTAATTGGCTGATGTCGACTTCTTGTTAGTCATTTCAGTCGTCGGTCAATGTTCGCTAACGGTCGTCCTGACGTGACCCTTAATGGGATGTTCTCAGATAATTGTATAGCAGCAGCGAGAACTTAGATCTGATTTTAATGAGATTGCCATCGTAATCTTTTTTCTCCTCAGAAACCACGTGATCAATGAAGCTGAAACTTCACATTTTTCTTCCCACAATGATGACACCTGAATTTGTTCAAGAGGTTTGAATCCGATTTTTTGTCAATATGGGGATATTACAGTAGGTTTATAATACCATTCATTTATCATAATAATGCGGATCTTTGATCACTTCTGATTCAACATCTGGACGCTAATATTTCGTACATAACTTACTTTGAAGAGTTACTGATTCAGTTCAAACTTATTGTTGTTGGTTATACCATAGAATAAAACGTAAAGTGTCCATAGGGCAAGAGATATGCGATTCGTGTGAGCGACCGAAACCAACTTACCCACGCTGTAGCACGAGTGACAAATCAGCAGGAAAAGCAGCAGTGTTATCGGATTCTGGAAGAATCAACATTTGAATCAACTGAAAGTCTGCTTCAAAATGAAAGGAAATAAATTTTATTTTATAAATCTAGTCAGGCAAACCAGTGGTTGAAATCCGGGTGAGGTTTGTTTTCTATCAATTCTCAGTAGCAGTATCACATGAAAATAAAAAAACAAAAAGATATATAATACATAAACTGAGGGGCAAAAGGAAATTTGTATTTTATCAAATTGAAATGTTGTCTAATTTGATTATGTCTATTTAACCAACAGTTTGTAAAAAGTAATCAGTGGTTGAGTAATTGTGTGTAAAAAAATTGATGACTGGGGTAAGAAATCAATTTGCAACACAAGTAAGTATTTATAAGAACACGTAGGTATATATGCCAACAAGTAGGTTTATATACCAACAAGTCGGTATATATTCGAACAGGCAGATAATTGTTCCAACAACCAGGTACATATTCCAACAAGCAGGTATATATTCCAACAGGCAGATGCATGTTCCAACAAGCATTTATATATATATATATATCCCAACAAGTAGGTATATATTCCAAAAAGAAGGTACATATACCAACAATAAGGTATGTATTAAATCAAGCAGGTATATTATCCAAGAAGTAGGTACATATGCATGCAAGTAGATATATATACCAACGAGTAGGTATATATGCCAACAAGTGGATATATATTCCAAAACGTAGGTACATATTCCAACAATGAGGTATGTAGTCAAGGCCATTGTCGACGGTGATGTATAAACATTAATTCCGAATTTGAGAGCGATAATGCATTGTTCCATAATTTCAATCCAGAATCCAGAGTAAAAGAAGTCCGCATCAGACAGATTTCAGTTTCAGATCAATGAAGGTAAACTACCCGGCACAAGAAGGTAAACACTTAAAATTGGATTTGCCAAAAGTATTACAAACGTTATCAATACGTTACGTGACTGTAAAAAAGTTGTCGAAACACTGAAAACTTACCCATTTCTTGTTGTATATATAGTCTTTATTCATTAAGTATTGTAGGCCACAGGCCCATTATACATTACAGAGTATACAGTGGGAGAGAAACATTATGATACAAAGGTAAAGTTTAGCTGATTTACACAAGACGTAGTTTTAATGCTTTGTAAATGGATACGGATAGATTTTGAATGATTAATACATTATTTGATGCCATTAAAATATTAAACGAATATATGGATGGGTAGAGTAAACTGTTTGGGTATATAACTTCGTCTTAAATGTACATGTCGATCACAAATTATTATAACATGAAATTCATCTTCAATTTGATATTGATTGCAAGCCAGACACAACCTTTTAGATTTTAACTCTTTTTATACCTTCCAGTCTCAATTCGGAGCTGGTGGGAACAACATCTTAATTGCGCAAGGGCACGTTTATATTTAAATATTGATAATTCTTTAAAATATGTTTCTAAGCCGAAATTTGTTTTGAATAAACTATTAAGAGTTGATTTTGAGCTTGATGAAAGAGCTGAGTGCCAATTTTGTTCATAAGAGAATTTTAGACGGAGTATAAATTCCGACAGAAAGCGGGAGATATTACTTATAAATTGTTGTTCCCATATGAAACCAAAACCAGTAGAGAAAAGGGTATGTTTTACTTTTGATGCCCAGTTAGTTTTACCATTACTACAGTCTAACAATAATAAGTTTTAACATTTCTTTACCAAACGTGATTCAGGTATATTAATTATTTTCCACCAATACTTAACAACACGTTTAAATGCAAATATGAACATGTACATTGGGGATCTTCCGCATTCTCCTCTAGCAACGTGATTTGCGGATGACTGCTTAACACATAAAAATCTCTTACAGGCAACATTCGTACAACTTCTGTTTCTTCGTAATTATGAACACCCCAAACTTCAGAGCCATACAATAGAATTGGGCTGATTTTGGAATCAAAGATTTTTTTTAAAAAGATCATGAGGTAATAGATTTAACATATATAATGATTTAATAATTCCACACAGAACCTTTTTTGGTTCATGTAGCGATTTGCTGTCAAATTTCCCTGAACCACAACCAAGTCAGATCTCGTGGTGTAGGTGGTGTACCATGACACTACCACCACCGCTCATTTCGTCGACGATAAACACGTTGTCTTTCATCTCGTCGGTGAAGAAGAAATCGTGATTTATTGCTAAACCACAGTTGTCTCCAGTTTCTCAAATTCCAAGGCTGTAAGGTATGGCACCAACGCAAGCGTCGCTGTCGATATATCTGTTGCAAAACAGGGACTGATCTTCGGGGTCGGATTCCAGCTTCGTGAAGATGGTTCCTGATAGTCTGGTCCAATATCCTCCTCAAAACTGCAGTCTCCATAGCTGTGGCATTCCGATGATGTAGGTAGGACAGTCGAATGTAGTGATCCTGTGCAGGGGTGGTAACTCTTGGTCGGCCGTTTATCGGACGGTCTGCAGTTGAACTGAACTGTGTGTATCGATCTCAAAGACGGCAAATGGTGCTGTGGTGGACGTTGAAGTGGCGTGCAACAGAAGACTGCTATTCCCCTCTTTAGATACGTCCTATGGCAATGTTCCGATCAGCAGCGCTGAGTTTCAGCATTTTGGAACTTGAAAAATGTTGACAATTGAATAACAAATTATTGGCTTATGCTTGCCTTTTTATAGCCACTACCACGAGTTACGAATGACATAACTTTCACGTTATCAATGTACATGTACCTCGAGTACAAGCAAGTAATATTCATGTATGTGGTGCTGGTACAATTTTGTGCCGCCATTGTGTAGCGTAGCATTATTATGAATATGAAATCACAATAACACATTTTCTTTTTAAAACAGACGAATTGTGCGTTGGTAATTCTTTAATCTCTACATTAACAATCCCGGAAGAAAACTAACCCCTTTATTGCACCACTGTGCCCAAGCTTGTTCTTTTATGCCAACAGTCCAATCTCGAGACCTAGCAACATATCCGATTACACTGGCCCAGGCTGACCCTAGCCGGATTTGGTCAGTTCTCCATGCGATACTCACACCTAGTCTGTCCCTTGGTCCTGCGCCATGACTGTGGAATTTATATTTTTTAGGTATTCTGTTTAACTAAAATCCTAGGCATGTCTAGATGTTACTAACAAGTCTTGTTGAGTTGATTCCAAAACATCAGAAGGAGAAAGGTTCTTTCGAATAAAAAAAATATATTTTGAAGAAATGTTTTCATTGACTACGTGTTACTCTATCTATCCCCAGATCCTAGAGAATATTTTTGAAACGGACTCCAAGTAAAGAATGATTTGACAAGTCTAGATTGCCTAAGTTCTGGTCCTGAAATCAAGCATCGTTCTTGCATCCATTTGTATTCTATTGAGTAGATTTATAATTTTAACTATGACAATTGTATTTCTGGGATGTTGGTTGATTTTAGATGTGGGTATTTAAAGATAACAAAATAATATGAAATATACATTATTTATGATGTAGCTAAGGTATGTGCACGTGCATGTGTAAAAACTGTAGTTTGTAGTCAACCAAAGAAGATCTTCAACACTTTAGATAGTATATTGTTTTGAAATGTCTCGCCTCATGAACATGTTCCACGTTTCAATATTGTATTCAATTCAACCAATGACTGTACACAACATTTATATATTTTACATGTATATTACGGCTCCATGGGCAAGTATAACGGTAAACACAAACGTGTGTTTGTTTAACATTTTTGTGTGTTGAAACACATGTTATATTAAAGGGAAAATATAAACATTTAGTCTGTTCGGTAACTAATTCCAGCTATTGTTTCCTGAATTAAATATTATTTACTTCAGGCATACACATATTATTTCGTGTCATGTGACACCAGATGTTGTTATCAACCAATATTCATGTCGTAAACAACCATAGAAATGTGAAACATCAATGCTAGAGAATAACCACTTTTGATTTTCCAACGAAACAAATTCCTTTTGGCGTAAACGTTGACAATAGCGGTAAAAATATATTAATGGATCAATGAAAATCATTGATGACGCAATTGTTTGCAAAAATATGTTGTTGCCTCAGATGAATAGATGAAGTTATGCCGAAACAGTAAGCTCTTAGAACTCTTGTTTGCCAGCTGGGACCATGTCAATATATCAGTTATGAAATGTATTTACATGTTGAAAGCATTGACAGAGAGTATTGTTATCTTGGACGGTTTCTGCAAACGAAGTAGACATTTTGGATTCCATTTATGCACACGAAGATGTTTTATTTATCAAAATATGCCTGTGTTTGTTTGAAGGGAACATTTTCTTCACCGACTTTGCTACAGGCTTCAATGCAGGGTTGGAGTACACAAAGACTATTCAGAGACAATTAATTAATCAGTGCTGCTACCAGTGCAAATAAAGAATGTATTTTTAACATGTTAATGTCATTGTGTGTATATACAACACATAAATAAAGTACAAGTTTACTTTCTACAGTTTTATATACATAAAGTACAATTACTTTTCTACTTTTCTTGGATCACTCCATTCTAATACTGCCGCCATGACCTATGTTGTTTTAAGTTGTGTGTGACAAATGGGACACGAAACTAATGGGAGGATACCGACTACACTGGCCCTGTCTGACCCCAGCGGGATTCTCTCTACTGGTCAGTTCTCCATGCGATACTCACAGCGTTGTGTGTCTCCCAAGAGAATACATATGAAAAGGTCTCCAACTAAAGTCAAGAATGATTTGGCAAGTCAAGATTGCCTCAGTTTGGGCCCTGAAATCAAGATTACAGAAAGAAGTAAACATTTCTCCAAGTTTGGAGCATGTTTAATGATCCACCGCCCAAACTGATTTCTGTAGGTGATATAGAAACGGACAATGTACGCCCATCACTTTTTAGGCATTTACCCTATACACCATTCAATATTTCTTCATCAAACTTTATATACATTAGACATGCACTGGACTGGCACCTTTGGCTATTAAGGGAGTTTTCAGGGAGTGATTTTTTTTCATATTGCGTTTCC